TGGGCTCTGGGGGGGGTTATTCCCAGTGTTATGCCCAGCTTGGCATTCCCAGCCGGAGCCGAGGGGGGAACTGCGGCTCCCGAGCTCCCGAGCCATGGATTCCCGGGCGTTTTTGGGGATGGGGAGGGGGGATGATCCCGTCCTGCCTTTCCCAAGGCCTTCCCAGCCCTGGTTTTCCTGAGCCTGCCTTTCCTTTGTCCGGGTGGTGCCAAATGCCACATTTCCCCGCCCGCCGATCCCTGTCTGCATCCAGCCCCTCTTCCCGGTCCTGTCCGTGTCCAGTCGGATCCCTTGGATTTGTTGGCAGTCATTAAAATGGTGAGTGAAGCCTTTGCTCCGGTTTCTTCTTCCTTTTTCCAGGAGCTCTCCCAGTTTTTGGTGCTTTGCCGGAGAAGGGAGGGAAGAGCTTGGGTGGGAATCGTTGGGATGGGGAGATTCCTTGTGCTCTTCCATGGGAATGAGGTGGAATTCTCGGCACAGGGAGGTTCCCTGTGCTCCATCCCCCCCCACTGCTGGGGTCGTGCTGCTGCCAAAGACTTGGGCTGTGCTGCAGCATTCCAGGAATCCCGTTGTCCGTGGGATTCTTGGCAGGAGGATTTACCTGTTGACAGCCCAAATCTGGCTGCTGGGATCCCGGTGGGAATCCTGCCCTGGATGCTGCTGTGGGATGGAGGCGGCACCTTTCTGGGGACGCTTCCTTAGAATTCCAGGATAAATTCCTTGTGGGAGCTCTCAGCAGCTCCAGGGAGTGTTTCCCTCCTCTGGAATTCTTCCCAAGCTCCCTGGAGCTCTGCCTGCCCCCAGATTCCCTTCCTGGAGCCTTCCCTCCATGGGATAACTCCTCCTCCTTCCTCATTCAACCCTTTCCAGGTGCTCCGACCAGGAATGTTTTGGGTTTGGGACCCCCTTCCCCCCCCATCCAGGAGCACAGCTCCCAACCCCAGGGTGATCCAGGTGGGATCCAGAGATCCAGGTGATCCAGAGAGCCGGGAATGGGTGCAAAGGATGGGAAGCGGCCCTGGATCCAAGCTCTGGGAAGCGGGGAAGGAAGGACACTCCGGCCATGCACATTCCTTTATTGTGTTTTCCTACCGAAGTGAAGCTGGAAGGGGAGATCTGTGCAGGGAGCAGGGAAAGGAGGATCCAGGGATTTCCAGGGATCACCTACGGATTATTTACAAACAGAGAGAGCGAACGTGGCTCTAAAGTAGCAGAACGAAAATGTTTCGAGCAACCATTTCCTCTTTATCCAGCCCATTCCCATTCCCATTCCCATTCCCGGGCTGGAGTTGGGGTTCCCTCCCCCAGCCCTTCCTGCCTGAGGAATTCCCACCATTCAGGGCCCCAGAGAACTCCAGGAATCCCTGATTTCTCCTGCCAAAGGGTCGATTCCCGGGAAGGGCTGGGGTGGGTTCCCAGGAGCCACTCGGAGGTAACTCAGCTTCCTCCTCCCCCAGAAATTCCAGCTTGGATGAATCCAGCCTCGATCCAAGGGCAGGAAGGGGCTGTGGAGGGATGGCCAGGGGGGAATTCCCGTCCCTGCCTCCCAAATTCCCTCAATATTCCTATTCCTGGCTGTGTCTTGGTGTCAAACCTCCCGTGGAATGCTGAGAACGGGGAGTTCTCCTCGGAAAAAAACAAAAAAAAAAAAAAAAAAAGAGGAAATGGCCACGAAAGGGAGCAGGACGTTGAGTTCAGCCCCTTCCTAGTTTGGGGTGAAAAGAGGCGGATTTGGGGCGGTCATAGAAAAAGTGGGAGCGGTGACGTGTGGAGGGGGTGGTTCTTCCTTTGGCTCTGCTCAGCAGAACGGAGAGACGGGAATGTTTCCTGGGAAAGGGAGAGAGAACAGGGAGTTAAACACCCCCAGGGCAGGGACACCTTGGCCTTCATCCCCGTGGGGATGAGGATGGGGAATCCCACATCCCACCCTTTGCCTTGGCCTTCATCCCTGGGATGAGGATGAGGATGGAGCATCTCCCACCCTTTGCCTTGGCCTTCATCCCTGGGATGATGAGGATGGGCCGAATCCAAGGGGATGAGGTCCCACCACTCCACATTCCAGGTCCTGCCCTTTGGCCACAACAACCTCCTGGAGCTCCAGGGGTGGGGACAGAGGGAGGGGACAGGAAGGGACCTGGGGGTTGGATGTGAGTCCAGGGGGTCCTTCTTGGCATCCTGGCATTCCTGGATCAGGAATGATGTGGCAGCAGGACCAGGGCAGGGATTGGGCACTGGGGAGGGGCACCTGCAGGGCTGGGCCCGGGTCTGGACCCCCAGGACAGGAAGGACATGGAGGGGCTGGAGCGTGTCCAGGGAAGGGAACAGAGCTGGGGAAGGGTCTGGAGCACCAGGAGCAGCTGAGGGAGCTGGGGGGGCTCATCCTGGAGAAAAGGAG